TTTTCCTGGAGCTGACAGTCTGGCAAGTGCCCTGGAGGAAAGGACAGGACGTGATAGAGGGATTTTTTTAGGGGTACTTTAAATAGGGTGGTCTTGGGATGGCTCTTGTCAGATGATAGTGCTAAGGCTTGAAAGTTGAGGGGAAAACCTGTTGTATGAAGAACTGGAAGCAGGCTATTTCTAAAATGAGGGCATAGCAATGGTAAAGGTCCTGAAATGAGAACGAGACCAGAGTTGTCAGAGTTTACCGAGGGGGAGCAACAGAGGTGAGTGGGTTAAATTGTGTTCCTCCAAAGTTCACTAGAATTTTGTCTCTCAATATGACTGTATTTGGAAATGGGGCCCTATAAGGAGGTGATAAGTTAAAGTGAGGCCCTAGGGGTAGGCCCTCATTCAGTCGGACTGGCATGTTTATGCGAAGAGGAAATTTGGACATCCGGGGAGACACCAGGAATGCACGTGCACAGAAGAAGGGCCATGCGAGGGCGCGAGGAGAAGGCAGCCACCGGGAAGCCAAGGAGAGAGGCCTCGGGAGACCAACCCTGCCTACGCCTTGATCTTCAACTTCTAGCCTCCAGACCTCTGAGAAAATAAAGTGTTGTTTAAGCCACCCAAGTCTGTGCTGTTTTGTTACAGAAGCCCTAGCAAACTGATATACCACATAATTAGAGATGGCAGTGGGAGTAAAAGCCCTGTAAGAAAAGTATGGGGTTCATGAGAGGGTATAGCCGATGAACCTAAACCATTCTGGCCTGGAAAAGGGAAGGACTCCTAAAGCTGTGTCACTTAAGTTGCCATTTGAAAAGGAAGACGTTAGGCTGGGGGAAAGCCGCCTTATCACTCAGTTCTGTGCTGCTGTCGCTCCATGCGTCCACAGAACTTCACCTAATAAAATGGAAACTGCACCAATTAAACCCTAACTCTCCACCTCCCCCGCTCCTCTGCAACCACTATACGTTCTCTATGAATTTGACTTCTGTTAAGGATTTGGAAAGACGTTTGATGGGATTAGAGGTGAAGTGACTCAGTCTGACATCTGTGTCCAGGAAACAGCTGACTTTGAACTAGATCTTGAAGGATGGAGCACCTGTCTTGTCCATGTAAGAGGAAAAGAATTCCTGACAGAAATAAGAGCATATGTACAGCAGCTAAGGATGCTAGAAGCTCCACGTCTTCTCTATGGAGCTCTGTTGTTACCAGTCTGGACAACTGGATTCTGATGATTTGTTTTCCTGCAACATTGGCTTCATTATGTCACCCTTCTACTCCCAAATGTACAATAACTTGTTACCCGAGGGATAAAGGTCAGAGTCTTCAACCTGCCACTCAAAATTCTACATTATAAGCTAATCTTCAAAATCTCTTCCCACCCATCAAAATGTAATAAATGATAAGTGATTTAAGAGTGCATAATCATGTAATTTTAAAAAAAATATATCTTTATTGATTTCAGAGAGGAAAGGAGAGGGAGAGGGAGAGAGTCATTGATTGGCTGCCTCCTGCACGCCCCTGACGGGATTGAGCCCACAACCCGGGCATGTGCCCTGACCAGGAATCGAACCGGGATCACCTGGATCCTAGGTCGATGCTCAACTGCTGAGCCACGCCCGGCTGGGCCATAATTGTGTAATTTTAATGTTGACTTAAACGCCCCGATAGAGAAGATAACTCTGATCTCTATGCTACTAAATGGAAGGATACAGAGGATAGATCTCAAACCTAATGTGTTAACCTATATTAGTTACACAGGCAAGGAAACATTATTTTGGGGAAGAGATATTTGTATAGGTCTTACTACAATTCTGAATCCTTTTGTAATGAAATTTATTAGAAGTGTGAAAACCTCCATTTCCTTCCAAGTACTAGATCTATCAAGAAAAGCCCCCTCCCCTCAGTCTCTTCACTTTTATCGCCAATTGTACAGGGTGGAGAGAAAGTAGGTTTACAGTTGTTGGTATGGAAAATAATACAATAATTACTAAAAATCCAAGAATAAACTCATATACTCACAACTGTAAACCTACTTTTGCCCCACACTGTGCAGCCCATTACAGTAGACCTAGTTATATGTAGCTACTGGGCACCTGAAATTTGGCCAATGTGACTGAGGAACTGAATACTTAATTTTAGTTAAGTTTAAAAAGTAGCATGCCCTAGCCGGTTTGGCTCAGTGGTTAGAGCACCAGCCCGAGGACTGAAGGGTCCCGGGTTCGATTCTGGCCAAGGGCACATACCTCGGTTGCAGGCTCACCCTGGTCGGGAGGTGGCGCA